AGAGTAATCACATAAGTATGTGTATATACACATATAACTACACATCCTTTATCTTTTCTAATCTTGCATAAGCAAGCAGATTTCACCTACAAACCTGCCTTTTCTGATGATACAATTTTGAACAAACACATGCCTTGGAAAAGCTGTAGGGAAAAATTGTAAGCATTTAACCTCTGATCTAACTACACCATTGTTTCCTTTGGTTCAGTTGTTTGGCATTCCTGATCAAGTACAAATATGTGGACAATATACTGTTATTGAAGATTATTTTTGTGGTCATCACCCAACATGTCACCTCTTGAGCACTGCAGATGCAAACCAGCTTGTCCCTTCTGTGAGGTAGAAAGGGAAGGCTTTCAAGATGTTGAACATCAAGTCATTTTATCTCAAAAACTTCTATAATTTATAGTGTAGAGAAACAAGAAATAGGATGCCAAACCCTAATAATTGTCTCTCTTAATGCCAATTCAGAGATATGACTCCCGCTATTTTAGTCACATGGAGTTTGTTCCATACCTTGGGGACATCATGGTTAAAGACAAGCAAAATAATCACAACTGTTAACTGCGACTGTTTTACTATTAAAGAAAGGAAAAATAAAACAAAACACAAAAAAATAAACAATGATTATTTCAGCTGCATTCTTTTCTGTATGTCTCTGTGTAGAGAACTTTCAACAGAGATTACACCTTTGAGAGTATGTCTACTCTGGGAGGGAACCAAAGTACTTTACTCCAAATTAATAGTGAGTCAAGACTTAGTATATCAAAAATAGCAAAAAACTTTTATAGATGGGAAAAATAATTTTGTCTAAAAGCAGGTGAATCCTGTATGGTTTATTCTGGATAATCTAAAAATTTATAATGTAATGTAAATAAATCCTATGAAACTGCATGAATTGCTCAGAAGGAGCCATTGAAGGAGTTGTCTTAAAACAGGCAAATTAATGAATATCAAAACTCTTAAATCTGAATTAAATCCCACTATTTCTCTCTGTTTACCAAAGATTAGCCTATGTTTCCTCTCCAGGAATACATAATCTGACAATCTGGTATTTAACAGGAGAAGCTGTTATGGTGTTAAGTTACAATAGCATTTCAGCATTACAAGAAACATTTAAATCTAATTCCTTGCCAGTGCCTTACAACTTTATCTCACCGACAATGCTGTAGTCTTGGTGATGTCATCATATTGCAGAATGATGGCTGCTTTTTGTACTGCATTGTATCTTCTCTTGTTCTTCCTACCTATTGTTTTACAGCTGCTGTTTGCTTGCAGGGGAGAATTGAGCAGGATGAACTGTGATGTGTATGTGACAGATATGGCAATTTCCTGCAAAATTCTGGACAAACATTATTGCATTAAGTTAAATGTTATTGAATTGTTTAAGTATCTAGTGAGCATATTATATTAAAAATGCAAATGTTTATGTATTATTGTGGGATTATATATGAAGTATCTAGGGGGAGACATGACTAATCTAAATCCTGGGAAGTGTTATGAGCTTCAGTGAACTCTTTTAAATGATATGCCAGACAATTGGATCCATTTCCTTGGAAATACTCAGGAGGAAGGGAATGCAAATTCCCACATACAGATCCTATCTTTTGAAGTTACCCCTGAGGTGAAACATATTATCTACTGATTTCCTATTCCCAGGGTCCCAAAATCAAAGGCACAAACTGTATAAAGGAGTGACTTACAGATTTATGGTGGTTCTTGAGCAAAAGGTGTTATGAGCTTGTAACCACAGGGAAAAGCCCATGTGTGGGGTTTGAAGAAGTGACTGCTACCAGAGCCCTTGTTGGGATCATCTTGGGTAAGCTTATTGGCCTGCAGTTCTTTTATTGTTTTAATATGCTTTCACCTTAAGAATAAATGTGCTTGCTTAGGAGAAGCTGTGTGGTACCTTATAATTGTGGACAGTTACACTGTCTGAGGAGAAAACAAAGCAGGCCTGCTTAGGCAGTCTAACTTGCAGGGTAATTCATAGTGTAGGCAGGGAACTGTGCAGCCTGGAAAAACCCCAGTCGGATGGGAGGGAGACGTATTTTTCCTCCCAAGACAGGTGATGGCTGAGGAGCTGAGAGTTTAAAAGTTGGTGCCCTTGCCGGACAACAAGAGGGAAACACAGATGTAGTTGCCCTGAACTGTGACAAATTGCTGTAAAGTTGAAGAGAGGAGTAGAGCACTTGTGCTTAATTCAGAGTTTTATACTGTTCACTTGCCTTGAATTTCATTGAGAAGGAAAATGCACCTCTTTCAGGCTTGGTTAGATTCAAATTAGCTGTAGTCATCCTTTTATTAGCTCAGTACCTTTGTGGGTTGGTCTTGGTAATGTCTTCAGTTCATGAATGTAGAATCTGTTAATACATATGCAATAGAGCTGTAATTTTTTGCTCAACTTGATTGTTACACTGCCTTTGTCTTTCTGGTGGGAACAGCTTAGAACATCTTTAGAGCTGGAATTTATCTTTTACTTAGTCCATTTTCTGAGATCCCTTTTAGCTTCATCGGGGTTTAATAGGAGTTGAAATTCTTCTTCACATAAGCCCAAGCATCCTTATGTCAGCAATAAAAGCTTTCAGAGTAACAGCCGTGTTAGTCTGTATTCGCAAAAAGAAAAGGAGTACGTGTGGCACCTTAGAGACTAACCAATTTATTTGAGCATGAGCTTTCGTGAGCTACAGCTCACTTCATCAGATGTATACCGTGGAAAAAAAATTAAAAAAAATAAAAGCTTTCAGTTCTCAAAATAGTATTTTAAAACTTATTAATTCTTAAAGCGTATTTAAATTTAAATAGCCATTTGAGAAGGCATTGTCTCATCTTCACCGTCTCTGGAGAGATGGCTCTTGCTTTCCAGAGTTTGGTAAGGAATTTGTTTAAGCAGTGGTACTGAGTTTTTTGATAAAACCCCTTGTAGTCTGGTTGGTTTTTTTTTGTTTTTGTTTTTGTTTTGTTTTTTTTAACCAAAATGATCCTTGGATTTACAACCTGTCATCCACAGTATATTTACAACTTGGTACTAAAGACACCTTATAAAATGTCCTGTACAAAGGACAATAACCAAAGCTTATACACATTTTCAAAACATAACATAAAAGGCAATAGTATAGCATTAAAACAAGGTAGCAGTTTATAAAAGCTGCATTTTAGAACCTGTATAAACACACAGGTGTTCTATGGCTGAGAGCGTTATCGTATTTGACTTTTTAGGAGCCTCTTACAAATTGACATAAAGCAGAAGCCTCCTGGAATTTCTTTAAATTAGCCTGACAGTTCATAATAGAGCATATGTTGTTATACTCTACAAGCATGGTGGGTATAAAAATAATTATAGGTATCTCTTGAAATTCAGTAAAGGGGCAGGCAGGTTGTAATTATCTAACTCTATCAAAATAAATTACGATAATTTTATCGATGACCATTTTTCCATCAATATTGAGATTTCCCCTCTACACTGCCCAGGTTCAAACAGGGACTACATCTTATCAGATACAAATCTGCTGTCTTTGGGCGAAGTTTTCCATTGCTTTTTACCGTGTGTTGTCATTCACACCTGAGCAAAGTAGGGATAAAATATTCACATTCTGATGGTAGCAATTTATACCCACTTTCCATTTACTTTGCATAGATGTAAATCACAACACAAGAGGCAAGGCAAGGAAGAATCAGGCCTTATGTGTTTTAAAAACTTTTAAAATCATATGGGTTACTTATATTAATGTCTCTGATTGCTACACAAGGGCAATATAAGTGGCAGTTGCTCCCTGCAGCCTGCTAGAAAGCCTGTGCTCCTTCTTCCTTAGATTAGAAAGCATCCCATTTGTATTCCTTCATCCCAAAGGATAATATATTTCATGCCAGACTGCTTGGAAATGAGTGATTTAGTTACAATGTTGATGCTGATGCACTGTTGCATGTGAGTGGTTGTATGTGCTCACTAGCTGTAAAATTGATAAAGGGCCAAATTCTGTCTTTTGCCCTCAGAACTCCCACTGCTGTCTATGGAAGTTTCAAATATGTGGAGTCTTGCAGGATCATGTCCCAAGACTTCAGCAGAACACATCTCAGTCTCTGATTCTAAGATATCAGAAAAATACAGGTGTGAATGCCGGTCACTTTCCAACAATGTCTGAAGGTTATCTATGGTACTGCAGAAAGACTTGAATAAATAAAGTTGCCAGCAGCATTTGAAAGAAACTTGTCATTGATATTATTATTACTTTATTATTAAGCATTGTTATTCTTTATTGAACAATGGTATTGTGCAGGCACCCAAAGGACCCAACTGGCTTTGAGGAATTAAGGGGGAAGATTGAGCTGGCCACATGCTGCTTCTGATAATGTTCCTCTCTGGGACACTAAGTTCTTTTTAAAAACTATCTCCAGGAAAGTGTTGTGTTGAGGACTGATATTCTGTTTCATGAGGAATTACAAGATTTCAAAATTTGGTTTTTGTTTTGAATTTGAATGAAACCTGAACATTTCAAAATTCTTCTCAAAGAAAAGTTTGGGGAGGGGAATTTGTTTCCAATCAAAACATTTCATTTTGACAAAATCAAAACCATTTTCATTTCGACTTTTTTTGTCTTCTATTGTAATATAAACAATTTAAAAGTTCTAAAATAAAAATAATTTCAAAACAAAAAATTGTAATGTTTCATTCCAAAAATGTCAAAATGGGATGTTCTGATGTTGGCTCAGCTTTTTCCTCCAAACTGCAATGTGCTTTTAATCACATCATTTTTATAAAAACTAAGGTTTTAAAAGTGCAAAGGATAAAAATGAATTTCTCTCCAGATGGAAAAGAAACATTCAGAGAGACAGACGTGAAAACATACAATCCTCCTCAGTGTATTCAGTGCAATCATAAACATACACAAAAACACATGCAAAACTTTTAACGGGATACCAAATGGGCAGGAAAATTGTCACAACTGGCCATGGATAAATAAGGTCTAATCTGTTTTTTGTTGTTGTTGTTCAATTCCCAGAAGGGTCAGCAGAAACGTGTCACCGAAGAAAGAATCCACAATGGAAAAAACAACTCACAGTTGCTTCTTACTGATTATGCTTCTAATCGTAAGTAAAAGAAAAATGAATTGCTTCTGACACCATAATAGAGGCTCAACTTAAATGTATACCCCAAATTAAAAAACACAGTAAAAGAAAAAAAAAAGAGCCACCGTGGCTTAACAACTAAGTAAAAGAAGCAGTGCGAGATAAAAAGGCATCTTTTAAAAAGTGGAAGTCAAATCCTAGAAGGGTAAATAGAAAGGAGCATAAACACTGCCAAATTAAATGTAATAAGAAAAGCCAAAAAGGAGTTTGAAGAATAGGTAGCCAAAAACTCAAAAGGTAATAACGAAATGTTTTTTAAGTGCATCAGAAGCAGGACGCCTGCTAAACAACCAGTGGGGCCCCTGGACGATCGAGATACAAAAGGAGCACTTAAAGACGATAAAGTCATCGCAGAGAAACTGAATGAATTCTTTGCTTCGGTCTTCACAGCCAAGGCTGTTAGGGAGATTCCCAAACCTGAGCAGTCTTTTGTAGGTGACAAATCTGAGGAATTGTCACAGATTGAAGTGTCACTAGAGGAGGTTTTGGAATTAATTAAGAAACTTAACAGTAACGAGTCACCAGGACCAGGTGGCATTCACCCAAGAGTTCTGAAAGAACTCAACTGTGAAATTGCGAAACTATTAAGTATGGTTTGTAACCTGTCCTTTAAATCAGCCACTGTACCCAATGACTGGAAGATAGCTAATGTAATGCCAATATTTAAAAAGGGCTGTAGAGGTGATCCCAGCAATTACAGACCGGTAAGTCTAACGTCCGTACCAGGCAAATTAGTTGAAACAATAGTAAAGAATAAAATTGTCAGACACATAGAAGAACATAAATTGTTGGGCAAAAGTCAACATGGTTTCTGTAAAGGAAGATCATCTTACTAATCTATTAGAGTTCTTTGAGGGGTCAACATACATGTGGACACGGGGGATCCAGTGGACACAGTGTACATAGATTTCCAGAAAGCCTTTGACAAGGTCCCTCACCAAAGGCTCTTATGTAAATTAAGTTGTCATGGGATAAGAGGGAAGATCCTTTAATGGATTGAGAACTGGTTAAAAGACAGGGAACAAAGGGTAGGAATAAATGGTAAATTTTCAGAATGGAGAGGCGTAACTAGTGGTGTTCCCCAAGGGTCAGTCCTAGGACCAATCCTGTTCAACTTATTCATAAATGATCTGGAGAAAGGGGTAAATAGTGAGGTGGCAAAGTTTGCAGATGATACTAAACTGCTCAAGATAGTTAAGACCAAAGCAGACTGTGAAAAGCTTCAGAAAGATCTCTCAAAACTAAGTGACTGGGCAACAAAATGGCAAATGAAATTTAATGTGGATAAATATAATAAAGTAATGCACACTGGAAAAAATAACCCCAACTATACATACAATATGATGGGGGCTAATTTAGCTACAACTAATCAGGAGAAAGATCTTGGAGTCATCACGGATAGTTCTCTGAAGATGTCCATGCAGTGTGCAGCGGCAGTCAAAAAAGCAAACAGCATGTTAGGAATTATTAAAAAAGGGATAGAGAATAAGACAGAGAATATCTTATTGCCCTTATATAAATCCCTGGTACGCCCACATCTTGAATACTGCATACAAATGTGGTCCCCTCATCTCAAAAAAGATATACTTTAGCATTAGAAAAGATTCGGAAAAGGGCAACTAAAATGATTAGGGGTTTGGAGTGGGTCCCATATGAGGAGAGATTAAAGAGACTAGGACTTTTCATCTTGGAAAAGAGGAGACTAAGGGGGGATATGACAGAGGAATATAAAATCATAAGTGATGTGGAGAAAGTGAATAAGGAAAAGTTATTGTTCCCATAATATAAGAACTAGGGACCACCAAATTAAATTAATGGGCAGCAAGTTTAAAACAAATAAAAGGAAGTTCTTCTTCACTCAGCATTCAGTCAACCTGTGGAACTCCTTGCCTGAGGAGGTTGTGAAGGCTAGGACTATAATAGGGTTTAAAAGGGAACTGGATAAATTAATAGATGTTAAGTCCATTAATGGCTATTAGCCAGGATGGGTAAGGAATGGTGTCCCTACCCTCTGTTCGTCAGAGGGTGGAGATGGATGGCAGGAGAGGGATCACTTGATCATTACCTGTTAGGTTCACTCCCTCTTGGGGACCTGGCATTGGCCGCTGTTGGCAGACAGGATACTGGGCTGGATGGACCCTTGGTCTGACCCAGTATGACCATTCTTATGTTCTTCTGACACCTTACAAATGGTAACCAGTAGAAATGTTCTGAAATCTAATACAAGTCTACACTATTACTGTTGTACACAGAGGACAAGGAATGGGTGTCCAACTGATTAAAAAACAAGAATAATAAAACTACTGGCAGAAGAAATCTCTCAGAAATATGGTATGCCTTAAGATCAGTGTTTCTTAGTGATACAGAGAGGAAAGAGTGAGGACTGAGTGACTATGAGTGAGTGTCTATGCATTCTAAATATGCAGTAAGAATAGTGTTGATGTCTATGCTATAAACTACCTCTGACACTGATTAAACTTCTTCTCTGGACTTCACTTAAGACTCAAATTTTATAAATAATTGTGCTGAACTGGAATTAATCTTAGCCAGTCAGAGTACGAGGATGCTGAACAGTGATTCAATGAATGTAAGGTCAGTCTGCATTCTGAATGAATACTGCTATTGGAACTAACCATCCATCTACCTACATGGCTGCCTTCACTACACACCCACTGCCCGTCCTCTCACCCTAACCAACTCCTCATAGCTAGGCATGGACCCCCTGGTCCCCATGACCCCGACGAAGGTTTATATGCCCACCCTCTCCAATAAGCAATTTTTTAAAATTAATTTTTAGCTGCCCCTCCCCATCTCCTCTTTCAATATCCCCCTCTCTAGTCCTTTTTATACTTTTTTCCTAATTTCTTGACTCTTCTTCCTTCCCCTTTCTCTCACCTCTATGCCACTCCCTCCTCCTCTGCTCTAACAGATGACTGAGGAGCACTTATATGAGGCTCCCCATCAGCTCCCTTTCATATGTGTTAAGCACAGTTTAGAGACATTGCTGGCCCTTGCTTCCTTCAGTCTGGCACAGCAGTTAGGTAGTTCCCCAGGCCTGCTTCCCATTTAGCTTTTAGGAGAGGGTGAGAGGAGGTGGAGAGAGGCCAGAGGAGTTGTTGTGTGAACGTGAGATGAAGTATATCGGGAAGGGAGATCATGGAGGAGATCAGGGAGAACTAAGAGAGATTGTGTTTAGTAAAACAGGGATTAATATTTATGGGTTCCTGAGGAGCAAGATGAAGTAGAGGGTGGGTGGCTGTAGCTGGGGAGGGGAGATGGAGGAGGAGGGAGTGCAGATTTAACTAGAAAAATAGTTCCTATTAACTTGGCCTCAGAGGTCATTAGTCCAGGATTCAGCTAGTGCTTTATAAACAGGAAGTGACCATATGATGTAAGCTAAATCATAGGACTGGAAGGGACCTCAAGAAGTCATCTAGCCCAGTCCCCTGCACTCATGGCAGGACTAAGTATATATGTACAATAAAAGCTTTCTGTTCAGAGGAAAGTGTGTCATCATATTCTGATAGTTGCATTGGTGATGGTGCAGAACTACCCCAGCTGGGGTACTAGAAGGAGGGAGCATTTGCACAATGTCTCCCAGAGCTGCAACATGGATGAAGGGGGGACGGTTTGAAACAGGATTGTTTGTTCCCCTCTGTGGCTGGCCAGCTTTGTTGGCTAATTAGAAAGGAGGAAGAAGTCATCCCCCACCCCCTTTTGGAGTGACTTGCAAATTGATGCCAGCATCATGTGTACAGGCTGCAGTGTTAGCCAGGCCCCCTAAAAGGGGGCACAATGGGGTAGGCTCTCTCACCTGAGCCTTCCCTATATTTCTGTGCAGGCTCACCTGCAAAGTGTTCAGTAATCATAAAATGATTCTGCTCCAGATTAAGGCTACACAGTGGATTTAGATGCAATTAGACCAATATTGTATTTTACAAATGTCTTTTGATTATTAAAATCCTTGACAAAGGGTCATTAAATCCACAACTTTTGCATAGCCATTACACCTCAGTGACTACACTATACATGGAAGGTCTGAACTGTTTCAAATTCTGAAAGGTTCATGTACCCTTGAAATATTTGTCATTTTAAAAACAAGGAAAACAAATTAATCATGGGTAAACCAGTGTGACAGAATCAAAAGCAGATTGTAATTGTATATAATTGTGTAAACTGATATTATGGAAAACTTAGGCAAGCCCTGGCCCCCATCAGACTTTTGTGAGTCAACCACCTGAGCAACCTTCTCCCTAAAATTTCTAAAGCCCATGTCTGGGCATTGGGCCAGCAAGGTGCACAGTGACTGCAGAACATAGGCCCCTTCTGCCAATCACCCAGTCAACTGCTCTTCCAGGATCTAGGCCGGGTAGGGATTCATCCCTTTGATGGACTGGTGGGTTGTTGTTCAAGGCAAACTCACTTAGCATTTTGTGGGTTTCTGAGTCTGAGAATAAAATTGCTTCATCTGTTCATAGGGAATGGGGGGGAAGTCAGAAGCCAAAAAAACTTCCCCTAGCTGCCTAAAGATATTTTCAACAGTGTCTTTCTGGTCATCCGGCTATGTCCTATTCTTACTTCCTCTAGGCAGCTCCCCACAGCTGGCTGAGCAGGACCCTGGCTTTCTGTTGCTTCGGGGGGCAATACGTTTGAAATGCAGATTCTAGCCCCTCCTGGAAAGCCAAGAAGCTGCTCTGACCATCCCCCATAAACCAGGGCAGTCAGTGGGTCACCATAGGATATGTCAGCATCATTGGGATTGGATGGGCAGCCTGAGGGATCCAGACTTGACATGGTCCCAAGGGTTCCTGCCTAACCTCCACAAATCCTGTCCATGATAACACTTGCCAGGTAGGGGGTCATCTGGAGTTAGTTGAGTGGATTCTAGATCTTAATCCAGATGCGAGGGACAAACCCTTTTTTTCCCTGGCAAACATCAACCTCCCCCGCCCCCCGCCGCC